ACAGGTGGCATAAAGTTTGCCATCCAAGCCACTCTAAAGGTCTGGTTCAGTGGCATTAAGTGTATTCACATCTTTCTCCAAGCATCCCCACCATCCATCGTCCAGACCATTTTCATCCAAACTGAGACTTAGAAACACGAACTGCCCTGGCCCCACCACCACTGCCTCCCGCCCCGGGGTCCACCATCCATGTTCTGTCTCTGTGATTTGACGACCCCAGGGACCTCGCGTGGGTGGAATCACACGGGGCATGTCCTTCTGTGACGGGCTCACCGCCCTCAGCATCATGTCCTCAAGGCCCATCCGTGAGGTAGCAGGTGTCAGGGTCTGTCTCCTCTTACTGGCAAGTTATGTTCTGTCACACAGCCCCACCATGTGCTGTTTATCATCCCCCGTGACCACTTGGGTTGCTTCTCCTTTTTGACTCTTGTGAATACTGCTGTTGTGAACATGGGTGTGCAAGTACTCGTTCAAGTCTTTGCTTTCAGTTCTTCTGGGAGGAAAGCATTCTTGAGGACAAGACGCATTCGTGTTGGAATCGGCATTGAAACAAAAGCATGTCTCTAAGAAAGGCTGCAGCCCACCCAGGACCCTGTTGGGACCATCCAGTCCCCAGGCTGCCGCTCACACGAGCATCCCAGTGCTAGGGTGACAGGGAGCTCTAACTTCCTTTCTGTTTTCCCACAACTTCTAAGTTTTCTGGAAAGGATGCATCAAACCATTTGCAAAAGTGCAGGAACTTTGAGTCAGGATGTAAGCTGGTGTGGGCAGCCCAGCAGGCAGGGACAGCACCGTGTCGATCCATCTCCTTTTCTCCGTGCTCAGCTTGCCCTGGTGGCCCCGCCCGCCTCCAAGATCCCACTGACCCCAGACGCGTGCCAGGGCCTGCGTGTGCTCAGCAGACGGGACGGAGACCGCAGGCTGAGGCCCCAACACAAGTGCCTGACCTGGAGCGGAACACCCCCGGGTCACGGGCCTCTCTCACTGGCAGCTCGTGGGTTCTGCAGCCGTGTCTCCCAGCCTGGATCCGCGTGCAGGTGTGGTAGCACCGAGGTTCCTGGTGCCGCCCCATGGTATTTTCAGTCTCGTTCGGGTCACCTGCTGCAGGTGACCAACCACTTGAGCTTGGTGGGGGAGAGAGCAGCCCCACTGAATATCTCGCATAGTTTTGGGGCTGGCAGGGTGCTGCCAGGTGGCTCTCACTCAGGGTTTCTCTGGGGTCAGTCAGGGCCGGGACAGTTCCAGAGGCTTCTCTGGCTCACGCCTCTGGCGGCTGCTATTTGACAGGGTGCCAGGTGCCAGACGGCAAGAGACAGAGATGGTGGTGGTTCCAGCAGGGGTTCCTGTGCTGCTCCTGAGGAGCAGACCTCGCCACAGGGGAAACTAAGCAGCGGTCGGCCCTGTGGTCCATCTGCAGGACCGTCCCTGCCTGTCTCGGGCAGTACTAGGGCCCCAGGCCCGGGACGACAGCGTTCATGCTGCCCCGTCTGCTGGCTGCTGCGGTGGAGACACTTAAATGGTCCCCAGCACCCTGCACAGAGGGGGACATTTGATCTGTCCGTACTTCTACATTGCCCAGACCTCCCCCAGCCCCAGTGTTGGCGCCTTCTCTGTTGGGTAGTGGCAGTCTTGGCTGTCAGGGGCCCTGGACCCTGGCTGAGTCCTGCATAGGTGCAGGAGCCAGCCTCACTCAGCTGGGGGGACTCGGGGCTTCTAAGGGGAGAGCCAGGGCCTGCTAGAGATGTGTCACCTCCCGTAGTGACACCCCCCGCCCCCCCCCCAGGCCCTGGACATGTCAGAATGAGCCCAGAGCCCAGTCCGGGGTTCAGAGCAGCGTGTCTGGATAGAGACTCCCAGGTGCTGCTTGTCTGAGACACAGAGCATCACCCACCTTGGTGACTGTGACTGGGCAGGTGTGCAGAAGTGCTCGGCACAGCTCCTGGCACGTGGTGTGTGTGTGTGTGTGTGTGCACGTGTTGTGGAAGCATGCGTGTGTGTGTGCACACGTGTGTTCCCTCCCCAAAGCCGTCTGGTCCCCTGAGCAGCGTGGAAGGTGGGCGGCAACTGGGCTGGCCTTCCCTGACCTTGGCCTCGACAAGGCAGCGGGGAGACCAGTCCTGGGGTGAGCAGGGTCGTGGGCTGCATCCCAGGGCTTCCCGAGTCAGAGTGGGAGGCGGTGCTCTGCGTTCCCTGAAGGACGCGTTGATGTTGAGCCTTGGGCTTTCCTGTCTGTCTGAGCTGCTTCCTGCTGCTGCCCTTGGAAGAAGGGGCCTTCGTGGCCCAAGGGCCTCTGGGGGAAGAATGCAGCCCACTCCTCCGGAAGGGAATGCCCAGGTGGGCACCAGTGCTGCCGGAGCCTCCCTAGGCCACGGGCCTGGCCCTGTGCTCTGGCTGACTCTCCGTCCCTTTTTGGAATAAGGAAGATGGCACTTGGGGACATTGACTTGCCGAGCTGGAGCAAGTCAGAGGCATCACCATCTGGGCGGTGTAACCGACACAGGGAACTCCCCGTGTTCAAAGCGCACAACCTGATGTTTCCACACGCGTCCGTACCTGTGAAACGGTCTCCCCGGTCACGACAATGAGCGGCCCGGCATCCCAGGCCGCAGGGTAGCGTGCGTCTCCCGGAACTCTGTAGATGGAGCAGCAGATGAGGACCTTCCCTCGTGTCCATCTGCTTCCGCCCTGCACGGTGTTTCCAGAGCCATCCGTGCGGTTGGCAGGTGTTCTCTTTCCCTCGGTGTTCTGGAAAGCTTTGTGTCGAGTTGATATCATTTCTTCCCGAATGTTGGACAGAATTCGCCAGAGAGGCTTTGTAAGCCGAGTTTTCTCTGTGGAAAAATGTTTAAGTGCGCGCTCTTCTTGTGCTTGGCGTCGACGGAGCTGCTCAGATCCGTGGATTTACAGCTTCTATTAAATCAGGAAACACTTTGGCCATGATTTCCTCAAGCATTTCCTGCTCAATCCCTTTTTTTGGCCTGCAGTTATATACACAGGGAGTGCAGGTACACGCACACTGTGCCGCTGGGCTTTTCCACATCCCGCTATCTCTGTGACTTGGTCGGGATGGTTTCTGTTGCCCACAGCGGATCCGCTCCTGGAAGACAGTCGTGCGCGCCCCCGTCTCTGCTGACCTTGTGCACGGAGTAGGACGTGCGCCCGCAGCTTCCCTGGTCTGTGCTCTCATCACCGGTTGTGAACGTTGTTCAGGGACGCAGTGACGCTGCGTGTAAACAGGGGCTTCCTGGGACCTGAGCAGGGCTCCCCGTGGGTCCCCCGTGGGGACCGCATGGCCCAGCCCGCACCCGTGCCATGCCCTCCAGCGGCTCCTGCTCGGTCTCGTGGCGCCCTCTCGCGTGCTCTGAGCCATCCTTGGAGGCCCTGCAGCGCTCTGCTCCCTGACGGGCTCTCCTTCCAGGGCTCTGCCTGGTGACCGCCACCTCCTCTTCTCCTGGACTGTCACCCAGGTCCCTGTCCCGCTGGGTGACAGTGCGCGCAGTGCCGGTTCCCACCTGCTGGGGGCGCTGTGCTCTGCCGCCCGGTGGAGGCTGTCTCTCCACCCCGACCAGAGGCAGGACAGCCTGAGGTGGGGTTGCGGAGGCTGCACCTGGTGCTGGACGACCCGCTGGACACAGGGAGGCTCAGCCTGCCGCCCGCATTCCAGCCACGCGTTGGCAGGGCTGTGTCCTGAGTGTCTGCTGGAACTTGAGTTTGTCTCCGAACGGCGAGCACAACGCGGGCTGGAAATCTTGGTATTT